ATCGTCTTGGGCTCTGCCTAGATCGACCGGAGCTCTGCCTGGGTCAACCGGTGCTCTTCCGACGTCATCCGAGAACGAGCTGGGAAGCACCAGCACGAACCGTAGCTCCGCCTGGGCTCTGCCTTGATGGTTCGGAGCGCATCCCGGGTGGTAAGTTGGGAATTACCGTAGTGCTGCCGGGGTAAGTGTGACTGCAACAATAATTTCACCCCGGATCATCCCGGTAACTTACCGGGATGGTCCAGGGCTCTGCCGGGAGTAAGTGAGACCGCAGCTTAATCCGGCGTTCACACAGTGCCGATTACGGCTCCTGTTTGAGATCAGACAGCGCTACGACACGAAAAGCAAAACAGTCGGATTACTATCCTCATTGATCTAGAATGTCCTATCATTGTCTGAACGCAGTCGTATATGTTCGTAACAGAGTCCTACGGATCGGGACTGGTCCAGAGAGATCGACCAAGCACTACCGACAATTAGGTGCGTCCCGTAACATTCGGGAAACTCAGGAGATTTTGTCTAGTCGGATTACATTCGTGACTAGTCGGATTACAATCGTGACTATGTCGTGACAGATTCTGCTGTATCGGATCAAAATCGTAACGATGTCCTGTGTTGTCTGGTCAGTGTCCGGTGGAACGGGCATGATCTGGAGAAATTTTGCATTATCGTTTCTTGTCGATTGAGTCCAGATTGCGTCCAGATCTTGCCGAATGCGAACCGTCTTTGCCGAATCCGTTCCGGGACAGTTCAGTAATTAATACGAAATTCGGCAATAATACCCACGCCAGAGTCACGACAATTACAGAACACGTTACGACTGAGTCCAGACAAAGGCGTGTGCAATGCGGTACAGCAGACTGTGATAGAATTGCGTTCCGGCAATGTCCCGATCATCCCGAATATGGCGACAGTTGTAGGATTCCAGATACGTGAATTTACAGATTCGGCTGAGCTGCTTACGTATGGAGTATATATATAACATGTGTTTGTGTGTGTGTGTGTGTGTGTTATTCATTGACAGTACTTTGACCGGTCCACCATGAATGCTGCTCGTAGACGGAGACTTCTGCAGCAGGTTGCTCTCATGGAAATGGAAGAAGAGGAAGAAGACCTTCTGTTTGCCAATTACTGTTTGAACAGAAGGGCACTGCGACCCTGTAGAAATAGAAGATACTTGGTCAAGCCCTGGATATACAGAAGGGAGCAGCTCGGCCAGTATGACACATTAATGAGGGAGCTAAGAGAAAAAGATCCAGAAGCTTTCATCAACTACATGAGACTGCCCATGGAACTATACGATGAAGTCCTGGCTCGGATCACACCCCGCATCACCAAACAAGATACCTGGTGGAGGCAAGCCCTTGATCCAGGACTGAAGTTTGCCTCTTCCATGAGGCATCTGCCATCCGGCGACAGTTACAGCAGCATAAAGTGGGACTTCAGGGTTCCCAGTAACACTATGTCAATGTTTGACACTGAAGTCTGCCAAGCTATCATTGATGAGTACGCTGCAGAGGTAATCGCCTGCCCCACTACCCCAGCGGAGTGGAAAGAAATCGCAAATGAATGTCTCCGCAGATGGAACTTCCCACAATGTGTGCGGTGCATTGGACGGAAAGCACGTTGCGTGCAAGTGCCCACCGAATACTGGATCTACCTACCATAACTACGAGGACTTCTTCTCCATAGTCCTGATGGCCCTTGTAAATGCGGACTATACATTTATTTGGCTTGATGTTGGGCCAGATGGAGCAGCTTCTGACGCACAAATATACAACGAGTGTGATCTGAAAGAAGTCCTGCAGAACAAGACCATTGGCTTTCCTGATCCTGAGCCACTTCCTAGAGAAGACAGAAATATGCAATAGTTCATTGTTGCTGACAATGATGAAGCCTTTCCCTTCCGTAACATGACAGTAGAAGAAAGGATCTTTAATTACAGGCTGTCAAGAGCACGCAGAGTTGTGGAAAATGCGTTTGGCATCTTGGCTCAGAGATTTCAAATACTGTTGTCAACCATGCAACATACTCCTGACAATGTGAAAATCATCGTACAGGCATGTGTCTGTCTCCACAACTTAATGAGAATACGCTACCCAAACATGAACATCAACCAGGTTGATCGTGAAGATGTCGAGGACGCAAGGATCGTACCCGGAGAATGGAGACTGGGCCGAAACATGTTTGACGTTGTCAATGTTCAGGGTGCTAACCGTGCAACAATACAGGGCAAGAAGCAGAGACAATATAATAAAATATGATAAACAAGATCAACAAGGAAAAGCGGCGTTCAATGAACGCAACCCCCATATGACCCAGCAACAAGAACCAATGGCAAGGACCCCAGGCGGACCCCAAACAAAAACAGGACAGGGCAAAGACAGAGCACGGACAGGTTAATCATTAAAAGATAAATAATTTGTAACTGATTAGGAATTCAAAGAAAATAATAATAGGCCCACAAAGGGGAAGGGGACAGGAGACCGGGGGGAGGGGGTTAATCAAAGAAATAAAAACTAGAGGCAATGGGGAAGACACCTACCGAAGACGAGAAAACAACAAGGGACACAAGCAAAAGTGTCACCAAAACAGTATGAAACGACATAGACATACATCTGAAGAACACAGAGGGGCGCCGCCTTGGAACGGTCAGCAGCATAATAATGACTGCTGGGGAGTTTAAACCGGTTAATGGTGCTAATATTGAATATCTCAAACATTATCTTAACTCTGCCGCTGGATCTGTACCTTGGCAGATGAGTATGGTCAACCCTCGCCGTGAATGAAGACCATATAATTAAAGGACAAAACACTATGCTATTATGTGTCACATCTTGTATCATTGGCTTTTAAATATAACAGCGGAGTTTAACTTGTGACATTACTTATTGTGTAGCAAAATAAAATTTTGTTTAATGTTTATTGAAATTTATTTTATTTACGAAAGGGTTAACTCCTAGTTTGGACTACTTTATAATTAAAGGCCACTGGTTTGGCAAAATGTTAAAGTTAAAATTTAATAGCTTTAATAAAGTTTAAAAGTTAAAATTTCATACAATAATGAACAAAAAACTCAATAAATATTTTTTATCATGAACAATGATTATGTCTGATAAATATGTTATCACATTCAATAATAAGAAGCAACATTTTTTCTGTAATCTTAATACAGATTATTTCAAATCTTACAAGTGTTCTGCAATAATTATACAGATTATAGAGATTACTTTTGAATTATACAAGTTTGCTGTAATATAAATACAGCATATTAGCAAGCAGTTTAAAATTAAAATGCGACAAGTTAAAATTCTTATAGGACGCAACCATCACGGGACTATCACGTGAAACGGTTTTCTAACGAATGTCTTCCGTCAGAGTCGGTTCATTGTCTCGTCAGTCTGATCTATGTCGGATCGCATTCGGGAGAATCGGGACGCTGTCTGGACAGATTCGGTCTTTTTTTACCATGACAAAGATACAAATCGGATCAGAATCGGATTGAGAACGGGATAATCGGGACGAATTCTGCTGTGACGGCTGGATCGGGACGCCTCCTGAACAATATCTGATCGTTGTCGTGATTAAATAAATGTTTTTACAAATTTTGATAAAAATTTGAATTTCCAGTCACGAATCACAGGATCTTGATCAGACTTTTGACACATTTTAATCGGGAATGATCCTATCAAGGACGACAGTAAAAATCCTGAATGTGTGACTTAGGCATTATGCAGAATAATGTTTAATTATTTATTTTCATCGGGAGTCGCCTGCGAGTATTTAAGTGATTGCCTTCTACTGGTATTAATGTTTAAAAGATAGCACACTAGTTTAAACCCATCTACCACTTAAAAAAAGTATCGTCACCAAGAGAATAAAAGCTACTTAAACCGGCAAAATATAGGCCTGATATTTGGTTTTACTTTATTGACAATTCAACTTATATAAATGAGAAATAAAGATATACCAAGATTGAACCTTGTAGTACACCAGCTAGTATATTGTTTCAATTGGACATTGAATAAGAATTATATAAATAATAAATTACATTCATACAAACTAATAAAGAAAAACGTTAAAAAATAAATGACAAAATAATAGTAATAAAATAAGTAAAATAATGTACACTTTATATTGAGTGTTCTCCGTTCTTCAACATTATACAAATAATAAAGAAATGATAAAAAACTTTTTGAGAGATATATTCGGATGTTAATTAAGTGACGTTTCAAGTATCGAGTTCGGCAAAGAGTTGTATTATTTAACTGAAAATTTCATCATACTCATTCTCCATTTGAATGATATAAACTTTAAATTTCCATCATTCTCCATTTGAATGATATAAACTTTAAATTTCCATCATACTCATTCTCCATTTGAATTATATAAACTTTAAATTTCGTCCGGTAGAAGTTGGTCATGTACTAATTGACACAAGCATTTAGCTCCGTTCTTCATTGTATGTCGTCCTTGTGCTTCACTCTCTACCAACATCAAATCAATATTGTCTCTCATGAAGTCATCAAATAGTCGGTCTGTATATTCCTGTAAATAACATTTAAATTACGCCGGTATATTGATAATAAAAATGGATGTGTTAACAATGTTTTATAAAATAGATTATTTATACTTGAAGGTACTTCATGGAAAAATCTTGTGATAAATGGTTTATAATTATTTGGATAAATAAACATGTCAAAAGGTAGGACGGAAAAAACAAGAGTATTTCATATCTATGCTATCTGGGTACAGACTAAATCAACAGTAAAGAAAGGTAAAATAGCTAAACACTAATTGATTTACATACCAATATAGGAGTGTCATTTTGAAAAAAAGTTTAATTAAAAACAAAATCTTTATTCATCTTACATAATGAAAAGACGTTCTTAATTGGCGAATGGTAGATGGGAAGTAACACTGTAGACAATAAGTAATAAAAGTCATGCATTGTAATCACCCATAGATAGCAAACTAAACTCTAAAACTTAATTAATCAATTAAAATGAGGATGTATTATTGGAATACCTGCAGTTTGATTCTGTCGGCAACATGTGTTCTTCAAAGCTTTCCTTTTCAGTACATCTACGTACAAAATAATTCTACAAAAAGACAAAAAAAAATGCATGAATATCTTATCAAATGAGCCGCGTCACGACAAAACCAACATAGTGCGTTTGCGACCAGCATGGAACCATACCAGCCTGCGCATCCGCGCAGTCTGATCAGGATCCATGCTGTTCGCTTACCAACCTTTTACAAGTAGAGAAACTGATAGCGAACAGCATGGATACTGATCAGACTGCGCAGATGCGCAGGCTGGTCTGGATCCATGCTGTTCGCAAACGCACTGTGTTTGTTTTGTCGTGACGCGGCCAAATATATCTTACACATTATTTATTTCAGAAATATGTAAGTAAATGCCGCTATAAAAATGTACGTTCTTTTCGGTGACAGCAAGATTTTGTTGTTAGAATTTTTTTCTAGACTTGAGTTCGATTTGAATATGTTGATTTCTACCAAATAGTAATCTAAGTAAATTTATCAGGAAACAATGAAGGAAAGAAAATTAAGACTTACACGGCATGGTTTTTTGTCGAACCTCATTATGTGCAGCTTCTAAAATAGAAACATTATTAAATATCTTAAAATCAATTTGACAAAAATATAATAATAATGTATCATATTTTGCTCCAGATATTGTTTTTGTCATAAGGGTTCTTTTTGTCCAAGTATCAATCAAATCCATAAATGACTTACAAAGTTTGTGGTAGATATATAAACATAACCACTCAAGGTCCATTTGCACACGTAAAGAATGAACATGTTTATGGTAGGTGTTATAAGTAACTAATTTCATCTCGATAGATTATTGCAGCTCGTAGTAACATTCATGCTATTAAATGACAGGCGACATTATTTGACATTTTAATTATAACAGGACAATAATGAATACATTAATGTTTAAATGTAATAAAATATATTTAATATAAAAGTTATAACATATACCCCTGCTTTGAATATTACAACAAATTTGCCAGTGTCAACAGTCTTCCTGTTTATTTTTGTCCATAATTTCCGCATCAGGTGTAATTTAGTCTGAAAGAGAAATGTCGCACAATTATTACGTTCATAAATTAGATAAACCCTTACCTCACCTAAATAAAAGCATCAGAACACTTTCAATCTTGTTATATAATAAAAACAAAACGGTTACATGAACTAAGGATTTCGGTTAATGTCCAAGTGAAATACTTTGGATACGGCTTATTGGACATTCCTTAGGCCGAGGTGAATATCATTAATTAGTCATGTCCGTAAATTGTGACTTGGATATTAATCATTACCTTAATGCAATAATTAGTCATGTCCTTAGATTGTGACTTGGATATTCACCGTTACCTTAATGCATTAATTAGTCATGTCCGTAGATTGTGACTTGGATATTCACCGTTACCTTAATGCATTAATTAGTCATGTCCGTAGATTGTGACTTGGATATTCACCGTTACCTAAATGCATTAATTAGTCATGTCAGTAGATTGTGACTTGGATATTCACCGTTACCTAAATGCAATAATTAGTCATGTCCGTAGATTGTGACTTGGATTTTAACCGTTACCTTAATGCAATAATTAGTCATGTCCGTAGATTGTGACTTGGATATTCACCCTTACCTTGAATGCATTAATTAGTCATGTCAGTAGATTGTGACTTGGATATTCACCGTTACCTTAATGCATTAATTAGTCATGTCCGTAGATTGTGACTTGGATTTTCACCGTTACCTTAATGTAATAATTAGTCATGTCCATATATTGTGACTTGGATATTCACCGTTACCTTAATGCCAATAATTAGTCATGTCAGTAGACTGTGACTTGGATATTCACCGTTACCTTAATGCAATAATTAGTCATGTCCATAGATTGTGACTTGGATTTTCACCGTTACCTTAATGCAATAATTAGTCATGTCCGTAGATTGTGACTTGGATATTCACTGTTACCTTAATGCATTAATTAGTCATGTCCGTAGATTGTGACTTGGATATTCACCGTTACCTTAATGCATTAATTAGTCATGTCCGTAGACTGTGACTTGGATATTCACCGTTACCTTTAATGCATTAATTAGTCATGTCCGTAGACTGTGACTTGGATATTCACCGTTACCTTAATGCATTAATTAGTCATGTCCGTAGACTGTGACTTGGATATTCACCGTTACCTTAATGCATTAATTAGTCATGTCCGTAGACTGTGACTTGGATATTCACCGTTACCTTAATGCATTAATTAGTCATGTCCGTAGACTTTGACTTGGATATTCACCGTTACCTTAATGCATTAATTAGTCATGTCCGTAGATTGTGACTTGGATATTCACCGTTACCTTAATGCAATAATTAGTCATGTCCGTAGATTGTGACTTGGATATTCACCGTTACCTTAATGCATTAATTAGTCAATGTCCGTAGACTGTGACTTGGATATTCACCGTTACCTTAATGCATCAATTAGTCATGTCCGTAGACTGTGACTTGGATATTCACCGTTACCTTAATGCAATAATTAGTAATGTCCGTAGATTGTGACTTGGATATTCACCATTACCTTAATGCAATAATTAGTCATGTCCGTAGATTGTGACTTGGATATTCACCGTTACCTTAATGCATTAATTAGTCTTGTCCGTAGATTGTGACTTGATATTCACCGTTACCTTAATGCAATAATTAGTCATGTCCGTAGATTGTGACTTGGATATTCACCGTTACCTTAATGCAATAATTAGTCATGTCCGTAGATTGTGACTTGGATTTCACCGTTACCTTAATGCAATAATTAGTCATGTCCGTAGATTGTGACTTGGATATTCACCGTTACCTTAATGCATTAATTAGTCATGTCCGTAGATTGTGACTTGGATTTTCACCGTTACCTTAATGCAATAATTAGTCATGTCCGTAGATTGTGACTTGGATATTCACCGTTACCTTAATGCAATAATTAGTCATGTCAGTAGACTGTGACTTGGATATTCACCGTTACCTTAATGCAATAATTAGTCATGTCCATAGATTGTGACTTGGATTTTCACCGTTACCTTAATGCATTAGTCGTGTCCGTAGACTGTGACTTGGATATTCACCGTTACCTTAATGCAATAATTAGTCATGTCCGTAGATTGTGACTTGGATATTCACCGTTACCTTAATGCATTAATTAGTCATGTCAGTAGATTGTGACTTTGGATATTCATCGTAAACCTTAATGCATTAATTAGTCATGTCCGTAGACTGTGACTTGGATATTCACCGTTACCTTAATGCATTAATTAGTCATGTCCGTAGATTGTGACTTGGATATTCACCGTTTACCTTAATGCATTAATTAGTTCATGTCCGTAGACTGTGACTTGGATATTCCACCGTTACCTTAATGCATTAATTAGTTCATGTCCGTAGACTGTGACTTGGATATTCACCGTTACCTTAATGCATTAATTAGTCATGTCCGTAGACTGTGACTTGGATATTCACCGTTACCTTAATGCATTAATTAGTCATGTCCGTAGACTGTGACTTGGATATTCACCGTTACCTTAATGCATTAATGATTCATGTCCGTAGACTGTGACTTGGATATTCACCGTTACCTTAATGCATTAATTAGTCATGTCCGTAGACTGTGACTTGGATATTCACCGTTACCTTAATGCAATAATTAGTCATGTCCGTAGATTGTGACTTGGATATTCACCGTTACCTTAATGCATTAATTAGTCATGTCCGTAGACTGTGACTTGGATATTCACCGTTACCTTAATGCATCAATTAGTCATGTCCGTAGACTGTGACTTGGATATTCACCGTTACCTTAATGCAATAATTAGTCATGTCCGTAGATTGTGACTTGGATATTCACCGTAACCTTAATGCAATAATTAGTCATGTCAGGAGATTGTGACTTGGATATTCACCGTTACCATAATGCATTAATTAGTCATGTCCGTAGATTGTGACTTGGATATTCACCGTTACCTTAATGCAATAATTAGTCATGTCCGTAGATTGTGACTTGGATATTCACCGTTACCTTAATGCAATAATTAGTCATGTCCGTAGATTGTGACTTGGATATTCACCGTTACCTTAATGCAATAATTAGTCATGTCCGTAGATTGTGACTTGGATATTCACCGTTACCTTAATGCAATAATTAGTCATGTCCGTAGATTGTGACTTGGATATTCACCGTTACCTTAATACATAAGCAGTATAACATTGCACGGCTTGGTTCTAAAGTTCAGTAGTATAATCACGTATACCGTAGAAAATGCCAAGAGAGCAGTAACCATCATAACGATAAGTCGTGCAATATAAGATAACAATGATACCAATAGAATAAACATCTACTTCTATTTTAATGTGTTCATAGCAAAAGAACTGTCAAGAAGAAACAAAAGTAATTGTCTGTAAAAACAACATTTAGTTTATAGGAATCTAAGACCTATCAACGTTCTTTTGAATATACTGTACTCGACAGTGTAGTCGTAGTGTTGTTCTTGTTCAGCTTATAACAATTAACTTTTTATTTTGTTTTGTTTTTATAACCAATATAATTTAAAGTCCTTCAAATATAGATCCATAATTATATAAATTTTGTTGCAATAACGTCGCATGCCTTGAGTGCACGAGCACTTCAATTTCGGCAAACTTTACCGTCTTACATGTAGTCATTATATTACAATGATCAAGTTTATTTTATCTACAAAAACAATAAATATGAATACTAGTACCCGCTGTTTCAAACCCTTTGTCATTCCTTTCCATCTTTTAAAGTTTCCAAGCGATCCACATGTGTGCACGATAATTACACAAAGCCACAGAATAAACATAGATAATAAGCCATACAGAATTCCGTGTTGTACTGTTGCTAAATGTTTGTCCACTGTTGGCTTAAATGACTGTTCCATAATGGCGGCACTCACATCAAAATAGAGAAAACCCGCCATGAAGAATACAAATGTTGTCATGCGTGAAAAAATGATGTTAATATGGGCATACTTTACTAAGTCGGACTCCCTCACAATCTGTTGTATTTCATTCAATAGTGTGTCTGAAATCTGAATTAAACACATCTGTTAACTATATAAATTCTAAAATTGTGTAATAAGCATACACAAATAATGGCTTACACCCTGTCACACTAGGGCGGTGTTCTCCCGGCGTCCAAAGAAAATTCAGAACGCCGATGTGAGCGCAGTAAAATCGCAAACAACGCCGAAGCATCGCCACAGCATCGTATTGACATCGAATAGAACGCCGACCGACGACGCGCATTTTGAGCATGCTCAAAATAAACACCGCCAATTGGCGTTTTGATAAGAGCGCAGTTGGATCGCAGTAAGGACACCGTAGCAATTCAGTAGCATATCTTACAACGTAACAGGAGCGCCGTGAGAGCGCAAAGGGACCGAATGAACCCGTTGATTATCAATGGCGCTTGCACGGAGATTGAGTGGCGTCTCTACCGCGCTCATACTGCGTGTGCACGGCGTTTTTACGGAGCTTTAATATTTCAGCGCAGTGTGAGCGCTGTAAAAGCGCAGTGGAAGCACAAAGAACGCAATAGAAGCGCAGTCCGAACGCAGATAATCGCCAATCATGGAAGCTCCGAAGCATCGCCATGAGGACGCCGTGAAGACACCGTGAAGTCTCCATGTCATCAAAATATCACAATGTTTATAGCGATCTCGCGGCGCTTTGTTAAATTTAACAACGCCGTGCAAACGCAGTGAAAGCGCTTACTAGTGTGACAGGGCCTTTAATTATTCATGTGCTTTAAATGATTTAAAAAAATAAAAATATATAAACTAGAAAATAACAATGAAGTATGGCTATTATATCATCAGTGGTAACATTACATTTCGTTGGAAGCGACAAGGTTCAGCACAAAGTAAACCTGATTTTGTTTAATCACTGCAATATTATAATATAAGCCGCGTCAGTCTGATCAGGATCCATGCTGTTCGCTATCATAATTATTCTCTACTTGTAAAAGGGTTGGTATGCGAACAGCATGGATCCTGATCAGACTGCGCGGATCCATGCTGGCCGCAAACGCACTATGTTGGTTTTGTCGTGACGCGGCTCATGTTTTACATACGTATAATACATTACAATACATACATTACCTTTATGGCTCATCAGGACTATACCAGCATATTGACTATTGCTGGAATGTTAGCATGTCATTGTTCAACTCACCTCAAAGCCATTCCTCCTAATTGAGCGTCGATTTGCAGCATTAAAAATCATTGTATACCGGCACAATGACAACCATCTCCATGAAATAGTATATTTTGACAGCAAGAACTCCAGCGTATATCCATTGCTTTCTTAAATACATACAATAAAATATCAATTTACCACAGTGTCAATGACAAGTAAACATCGTGTATTCTTTTTATTTTCATTAATTATATTATATATTGAAACCTTTTAGCTTATAATTGTAAAACTAAGCTAATTGCTGACATATAATGATTAACTAAAAGTGAAATTAAACCAAAAATAAAATATACAGAAAAACAATTTCAGTTGCTTCTGGTCGAGCAAAGAAATTTGTTTTTTTAAATTGTATTGTTTACGTCGAACTATCATCAACTATCAGTGCAACCGCAATACATGATACATACTTCTTTGGTATACGAGCTAACTTCGTTTTAATTTTGAAATTAAAAAGATAAGAACAATTCTTTTTAATTGTTTTATATTAGATGTTATTTTGACATTATTCTGTCCTAGATACAAGACAACAACATACCAACAAGTTGACGACTGTTCCACTCTGAAAATTAACGTTTCAAAAAATCAGCAAATATTGAAAAGAAATAACACGAAAATGTATACTAGGCAGTGCAAAATCATCTAAAATAATATAAATACACGTAAGTTAAGTGTGGGCAGAAACATCACATGGATTTTTTCTATCGGAGACTTACTTTATCATGTATGTTCTACCAGCATTCATACCATCCAAAATGTATACCTTTACAAAACGAAATTGATAGACAGAACAAAACATTTAAAGTGACATTATGTCATCAAAGAGCACATAGTGAGTATCACGATAGAAAGTAAAAAAATAGTTTACATTTTCAATGCCATAGTTCCTTTCTATTTAATAATATACTTGGCATGAACGATTAATTAATAACTTATGTGACCCAAGAAAGTTTCTGTAGGCTAACACCCGAATTTATGTTCACTCTTTAAAAAGAGTAGGGCGGTCTTTTCACATTTAAGTCAGATTGATATTTTATCCTAAACATTTTCGAATATCAACTGTTGGTCAAACATCATTAAAACTGTCAATCTTTTGAAATATATATACATGTAGTCAATTCAGGTCAAATTGACAATGAAATAATTAGCATAATGTCACTTTACATGGAATTTAAGATAGTGAGTACGTTGACGTTTGCAAACAGATATGTAAAATAATACTTAATATTTAATGATTTTATTCCAAATATTTCAAATAAAATGCTAACCGTTTGATATAAAAGCATCAAGGATTTTGGTGTGCATGTCAGCAGGGTCTATACATCCGGCGTCAATGTGTGTATAATTCTTCAGCACATTTGGAACTTCACATTGTTGAATCTTGATGGGAATTATTGTATAATCCTCTTCAATCTTGGCATGCAATGCTTGTTCTATTTCGTGTTTACAGAAACGACTCTGAATGAAGTTTGGTGATAGAACAATTAGTGTGCTCATACTTCTGTTGATAGACTCATTTATATTTCCTAAGACTTGCTGTCCTGGTAAAAAATCGCGTTCGTGATAACAACATTTTACACCGTGTCGTTCTAAATTGTCAACGATAATTCTCACATCCTCTGCGTCGTCTTGAATATAACATATAAACATGTGATAATCTTTATTATTGGGTAACGGTGGTATATTCCTATATTCACTTCTATTGTCCGTATATCTTTTTATATCTGCTATTTCAATATCCGTATTTTCTTCACATTTCACAGGAATCAATTCCCTAAAATTATAACACTCCGCCGCCATGTTTAATCGTACTTTCCGAAAGATAATGTTACATGTCATTGCGCATTTTCGGAAAATAAAGCTCGGAACGATTACTCATCTACGACATAGCTAAAGTCACTTAGCAAAAAGGAATCGGAATAAATTCGTTTAAAGCCTGGAATTTGAAGAAAAGCAGCATGCTTTTGTCGATTAAAGCGCTTTTATCTTTACTGGTAAGTAAATTAGATTTAACAAATTTATTGTGAAAATGCATAGTTATAAAAAAACATTTAAAATTCTAAACTACAGACAAGTTATTTATAGAACTGGGTTTCCAGCTACATGTACATTATTATGTTTTTTTAAAGTAAATGCGCCTTCCAGTTTCCAAGATTTTTCTCTCGATAAACAATTAAATAAGGAAGAACACAATTCTACATATGAAGTCTTAACAAAAGAATGCCTATGATAACTTACTGTGGTTATTTATTTATAGTTACAACTTAAGGATTTCCCTATGTTTAAATATATAAATTTTCAACGCCTGATTTATAAATACATGTACTCTGATAAGTAGAAATATGATACATGTATTTTGTGCGTGTGTGCTTGTTTTAATGACCGACAATGGTGTAACATTAGATTTTTACTCTAATATTTTTTATTCGAAATATGCCGATATTCATACATATGAAGCAGAAATCTGTATTCCTTTCAGATTTTTTTTAATGATGAATATTTATTTATGTTATTTCAGTAGACCAGGCGCTAATGACATTTGTCAATCCATTGGCAATAACTTTGATATCCTACTTATGTAGAAAACTCTTATAATTATATTGCTTGTAGAATAAGCGCTATCACAGGGGATCGTCTCCTAATGTGAAATTCACTGTCAATATTTAAAAAAATATCACTCTAGTTATAATCCATCTACCCTCTTAGAATGCAGTGTTATTGCTCCGCGTCCATAGGCGCGGAGCTATTAAATTTTGTGTTTACTATTTTTTTGTCCATGGGCCTGGATTTTATCAATTAATCCCTTCGATTGACAGTAAAAAATTGGATTCAATAGCTCCTTCCGATTATTATATTGTTCCCCCTTCGGTGATATTAACGAATGAGAACCAGAAAGCAGTTCTGCTGTACATGAATTCGAAAGCTTTAAATAGCTATAAATGTTCTGATTTTTTGACACCTTTTTTATTGATAGTACATGTACATGAAATTATAATTTGTTACATTTTGAATTACATTTACACACAGCATATCAAGTATACTATTAGTGATTGAATTTGTCAATATAAAGAAGATTTCAGGCATAAGACTTTAATAATTTTGCTTCCGATAATTATTCTTAATGTATATTTATGAATCTAAATGTTTTATAATAACATGTTGATATATTGGTTGTTTTGAAATAATTATAACTTTATTATATAAAGTTATATTTCATTGGCAAAAATCCGGGGTCCGTACTCGACAGCGAAAGCTGCAATTAGTGCCCGTACGGGCGGATGGACCCTCATTAAGCATAGACTATAGATATATAGATCGCATCATTGGTAAAAACAGAAACTTTTATCTGCAGTTTGAACATGAGGTGTTTTGTTTTTTTTATGAATAATTTTAAAGCAATTCAGCAAAAAAAGTGTATTGATCTCCCAAAAAATCAATTAACAATAGCGTTTTATATATGTATTTTATATACCAATGTCAGGTAGCTTTAATATATTTGACTCGCCTGAACAAGATGTTATCGAATTTCCTCATACATGCCTAAAATTCAGGTAGCAATCTTCCATCAGTATTGAAAGAAACCCTTTTTTAATTTGACATGGAAAAAATTCATGTAATATTACTATATTATAATATTAGTCCCTTTTGTTACAATTTGTATATTTGTTACAATTATACTAATAAAAAAACGGGCTTTGATATTTTTATCATCTTATGTTACTGACTACAGTAGTGACACAAACAGAACACAGTACAGTCAAGTCACATGACATTTACAAGTCTTGTAAGTCTTGTTTTTTCGTTTAGGGTACATGCATTTTTTTTACTTGGGGACCATATGCCGTTTTTCATCGAATGGCACTAACGTAACACATTGAAGGTTCCATGATAACCGCCATATGAACACATCTGCGGATGTTTAAAAATTCTAAATTTTACCAGTTCATGTTAAATGTTGAATTCTGCTTAAGCCGGTGCTAGGGGGCGTGGACGGTAACTTGCACTTTCCAGTACCGTCCATGAACAGGCTCAATCAAACCTAGCCTGCAACATTTTCAATTTTGTTGTGTTGTACTTTCTTTAGGGATTCTTATTTCTCTTTATTTTGTTTGTATTCAATGGAATTACTTTCCTTAACAGGTAGGCAACAGTGAAAGCATATTTTCAAATTAAATATCTGGTCCCTCTTTTTAATTATGGACAGTGCATAAGATATGTATAATTATGCAAAAAATGGTTTACAAAACATTAGGAAAAAATCTACAATAGTATATACTTATTCTGAATATAACATGACCTGTCCGTAGGAATAATTTGGCAAGATATCTGTAATGAGCGCATTTTTTTGCGCGGAGCTTCTCAATTGCTGCATTGCAGCAACATTTGTACTTGTTTTAATTGTGTTTTTGACTCAGTTGTTCATTCACCAATTAAATTTGAGATCAACGGTTACTTCCTCTGGTCAGTTTCTTGTTATGCTTGTGAAATTATGTTTCTTCTACAAATTACAATGCAAAGGTTAAACTAAATTGAAACTAACAGTTAAAAATGAAATTATTTTGATCAGAATTTAACGATATATACATGTATATACAACTGATTATTCCTCACACAACTTTAGAACCCGTTTCGCTGGAAAAAGTATGCATCTTCATAAAAAAATCGTTTTATGTATCAAAATAATTTTACCTCTTATATTTGATCAAATTGATATAGGCTAGCGCCGTATTTCAATTACGTTAGTTGAATTTTTGCATTTCATTATGTTACGTTTTGGCACAAGTTGTATTTGAAATGCAGTTGACTATATAAATACTATCTTAATATAGTTATTTAATGGCAATCCGCTGTTCCAACCTGCATACTTTATTCATGAGCATCCATCATTTGTAAGTTAATAAGATAACCAAACAGAAACAAAATGGAGGCTTTCTTATCAATGTCCTTCGTAATGGTCCTGCTTCTTAAATTGATTTAAGTATCGACTCTGCTTCAGAATTGGCCCTGCTGTCTTCGCATTGGCCCTGAACTCTCATATTAACCCTGTGATAAAATATAATGGTTTCACTTTTCTATTACAAACAGATACAACAAATTAATTACACACCCAATATTACATAGGTAGTTAATACACTATTATAGTTATTTTGAGTTATAGTCCTTAGTTATTTTTTCACTTAGCTCACCGTTTTGAAGAAAAAAATATGCTATTGCTAAAGTCTTGTTGTCGTCGACGTTGCCGTCCGAAAGCTCAAACGTTAGTCATATTTTGTTTATTTCTCAATGGATTGCCTTCGTACTTAGATACAACAACCCTTTGGACAAGACCCTCAAGTTGACTAGATGATAAATGACATTGACCTTCAATAGATCTTGAATTTTGCTTGATTAAAGCTATAATTGGTTATAGCTTTATTATTTATGACTGGATTATCTTCATAATTGAACACAACAACCGTTAGGACAATACCTTTAAGTATAGCTTATTGATAATGACCTTCACTCATCATTTATCTTGACTTTTCAGGTCAATATTTGAATTTTTCCCGATCTTCTGCTTTAATTGGCTAAAACGCATTAATGGATTGTCAACATACTTCAAAACAAAACCCTACAGGACAATGAATTACTGGAGATCAATCTCAATTTGCCCTTGTTGCATAAATTACCTTGGCCTTGGAGGTCAAATTATTGTAATTTAAAAGTGTTTTGCCACAATTGTCTATATTTGTGTAAGTAAATATGGGAAATCATCATACTTAGGTACATCAATTCTTTGAACATTAGTTATTAAGATATGACATTGACATTTAAATGACATTGGCAGTCAAGATCAAATACTGAATTTAGCAACTTTGTTATTTTTTACGGGTTAACTGTATACTTTGACAACAGAACCCTTTTGACGAACCTCGTTTGTTGAATAATTCAAATATGATCTTGATCTTTATTTTTTCATTGGTCAAGGTCAGATTACTGATATTTGCCTAATTTTTCTAATTTTGCTATTTGATTATCGATTTGATTGATATTTGGCAAAAGGAATACATTTGACCAAAACCAACAAGTTGAATTGTTCAGATATGACCTTGACTTATGAAATGTTAGTCAAATATGAAATTTTACTTATTTTTTTGTACATGAAAAATACGTTTTCTGGGAGTATTCTTTTCAACAATATTCTTCTTTCAATGTGTTTGACTGCGTGGCCCCAACTAGGCGTTGGCTCTTGTTTGTCCACAGCATAACTCGTAAAGCAAGTAAGGTATCAACTCAAACTTTAATAGTTTAATATAGGGGAATGTAATGTACATACATGATAGCTCTACTTACCATATTTTATATTTTTGTACATAATATTTTCCACAAAGAAATATTTGGGATAACAATTTGCAACTTGTTAGATACTATGACAATCCTAATCATTTTAAGTGATTTTCTTTTGTTTCTTCATTGTAATTCTTATTTGGTGTATAACTCAAAAAGTAATCACGACATTGAGATACCAACTTGAAACTTCATAAGTGATAAGAACCTTTTGAGAAATATATTGGAAACATCCTCTTTAGAATTACAAGAATAATAACTTTTTTATTCTGACATAATCTATTAAGCATGTGACATATTATGTATTACGAAACTTTTACAGGAAAAAAGGTCACAAAAAGACAGAATGCTGTTGACAAGAATGACAGGCCTCCACGTCATAAGTTTTTGCCCTTTGATATTTCTTATGCGTGATTTGCAAATTTTATTTTCTAACTCAAAATACTTCAAGACTGAATAGCTGTCATATACTAGAGCTTGTTTTGTTTTTAGGTTATTGCCCTTTTGTGTACAGAACCGTTAATGATATATTTTGTGTTGCATATTTCTCTCGTAGTATATGAAGTTAAACTTCGTCTGCCGAACAGTCTGATTTATGTTCTTTTCTTTAAACTAATGTACGACTTAAACAAATAACATTGTTATTTTCTTTTCAGGTTATCTTTCGTTCTATATTATGTGACATGAAATGCGATGACGTAGACATTTGTCCGAAATACAAGCCATATTGTTCAAAGGTTGGTTGTGTGTTTGAATGCCCAGGGCAATTTTATATAAACGGTACAAATTGTGTGTTATCTTGTGGAGACTGGTATATACACGATCAAAAATGTGTTCAACAGTGCCCAGAAACATGGCTCGTTAAGGAATTACTCACATTGCATAATGGTCAGGAGTACATGGAGAAGAAATGCGTGGAGAACTGTAGTACATTTGAATATGTATTTAACAATACTTGTGTTGAGGCATGTCCTTTAGAATTCCCATACGTAAATAACCGTAACTGTAGCGCTCATTGTTCAGATGAAAAACATTTACTACAGAATTTTTCAATTAATTCATTGACATATTTTAAATGCGTTAGTGTATGTCCTAGACTTGTTAATGATATTTATTGCACAGACAAATGCGTTGAAAAGCTTGTGCTTAATTCGACGTGTGTAGAGAAGTGTCCGGAAGCATTTCCGTTTATATCAGAAAGGAAATGTGTTGAGACTTGTCCAGACACAACAGTATATATTGACAAAGACGTATGCCTACAAAACTGCAGTAAAGAAACACCTTTCTTTAACAATCAAACCTGTTTAAAGACGTGTCCGGAAAGCTTTTACACCACAAACCGAAATGGAATTATTTTCTGTGAAGACAAGTGTCGTAACGGAGAGTACACATATAAAAACACCTGCCTTAATTCATGTGCCGATGACGGTAAAAGAAATTACTATTTATTTTACTTGAATAAAACATGCCAAGAGAAATGTCCGTCAGACTATCTTGAACAAAAAGAGGACTATAACTATATTGGGAACTGTGTGAAAATTTGCCCCCAAAGAATAATTTGTTTTTTTTAATGGGAAGGGTTTTTGACAGGTTTTCCCCTTTTTTTAGAAATGAACTGTGTACAACGAATGTCCTTCAAGTTTCCAATGATTTTTTCGTTTTAATGATTAAAAATGTATGGGGCTGACATGTAATCTAGAAGAAATTTCAAATGTGTTTTCAAGTGTCCACATGGTGCATTTTTTTTCAACAAAACAGTGTAAATAATTGTCCATTAGTATCGAGTTTCTTGGGCAAGTTGCGAGAAAAGTCCCGAGAACTTTTTTTTTGAAAAAAAAAACGATATCTACAAGACTGTACAGAAATATACCCGTGGTTTTCAGAAACAAAAACCCAAAAAAAACTCAGAATGGTTTTGAATGTCCGGGGAACTTTTTACTTTTAACTCTACATGTGTGTCGGAATGTCCTCCCAGTCATCATTTTATTGAAAACAAAAATTGTAAAATGGATGGCTGTTCAACAGCATATCAGTACAATAAGTCTTCATATATTATCTGTACAGATTCATGTGACGATGCAGACTTCATTTTGAACAATACTTGTGTGAGGGATGTCCGACCGAAAAAAAGACTTAACAATAACTGATTAACGCCATTTTGTTAACAAATGTCAAAATCATTATAATACATACGACATTTTACTGCTGTACGTTGCACCAACGATTGTTCACTTTGGATTTACAATTCTGAATAAAAATTGGTTTAATGTTTTTTGCAGTGTCCCAATTACGTTTTTAATGAAACGTGGGGTAACCTGTCCGTTCCAATTGAATCATACATATTACGAAAAATCCCGCCAAGTGCAAAATTAGCCATGACAAGTGGAAACTGAAAACAATAAATTTAAAGTTGAATTCAGCGCACGGATGCCTGAATATTTGGGTTTTGTCACAAAACCTATGTTAACCTACCTGGTCCACCTTCCTATTTTTTTTTTTGAAACAGATGGCTGTTTCTAAATTGTCCAACCGCGCGGCGAAACCCGTTTCAACAATTTATGTTCCGGGGTGTTAATAAAACAGTGACAAAGAACGAAATTTTTTTGCAAATTTTGTTAAAATTGTAAATTTCCAAGATATTTCTGTTGAATCACAATATTATGTGAACTAACATGTTCGAACGAAAACAAACTAATTACATCAAAAAAGTTATGCCAACCAGGTTGTCCGAAAGGAAATGCAGCTTTAAAAGTTAATGAAGGCATTAAATGCGTTGATAAATGTCCACCTAAGTATGTTCGTTTCAATGATACATGTCTGTCGATATGTCCGAAATATACTTACAATTACAACGACTCCAGGTGCGTTTGTGAATGCCCAAAGTCGGCTCCATTAGGATTAAGAGACGAAAAATGGCGTTGCATTAAAAGTTGTAGTGAAAGCTACAAAACATTTAAAAACGGAAGTTGTATATATGAATCAGATTGTGATGAACCATACTTTATCTTTGGGACAAGCTGCATCCTTTCTTGTCCTGATGGTTATTTCTGGTTACAAACATGTATAAAAAGATGGGATACGCCTGACACAACAATTATTGCTACTCTTCTTGGAGTGTGGGTTGTACTGTTAATGTGGTCTAGAACTGCGCTTAAAGAATACTTCATTGTTTTATCGATGATTCTGTTTAAGGTAACAATTATTTCTACTTACTTACTCATTTTGGTTAATATTTCCATTAATAGTATTCTTTCCTAAATACGTGACAAATAAAAGGCTTTGTTGCAATTAAGGTAGTATTCTTTCAAATAATAAATACAAAAATGTTATAACAAATTTTATTCATGTCGACCTACAAAAGAGTAGTAATACCCACTCAAGAAAATGATATATATATATATAATTTGTTGTTTTCTTATCAAATTATGGATTAAATAACTAATTTTTAAACTTCAATTTTCGAAGGAAATTCTGAGCAATTGTTTTGACCGAATCGTCGGCATCTGCTTTGGTTAAGTTTTCGTTTATGGTCATTAAACTTCAATACTTTTAAAGCTATTTTCATTGACACTTTCAATAATATGGATGAACCCTAAATGAGTTCTAGTTGTCACACCTATAACAAGGTTAATAGATAAAAATGTCTAGTTCACAGGACCTGTAGTAACAAAATTACAACTGGCCATTTTCACAAGATGCATTGACATAGAAACTTAAATATGTGTCTATAGATGTACCTTGAGAAGTCCTACCAGCTGCACAAATTCACATGTTTTAAACAGACCAAAGGTTGATGTCACATTGATTTCTAATAACAAAACATTAAACTAGCCTCTAAAGGAAAATGCTTTGATCAAGTAACTTGAAACATTGTATGTATATGAACCTAGATAGGCTTTATTTGACAAACTTATTTTCAGGTCAAAAGTCAAGTGAACATGGATCTGTAATAACAAAACATTTAACTTGCCATTGAATCAACGTGCATTGACCTAGAAAACTAGAATGTACATTGCTGCGTTTCAGATCGGACGGTCAAAGATCAAAGTCACTTATTAAGAAAATTAATTTGCTAAGAGTACTGCATAAATATGAACTAAATCACAATTGGCCAGTCATTATTGCTACACCCCTTCACAGTTCTAAATATTCACATTTCGACTAAAAGACAATTTAATATATACACATGATTGCAATAAGTACCACTTATTCAATACTAGCTACATCTGTAACTATATTAATTTTTTTATCTGTTTCTGTTTCTAGACAGACGAGAGTTACAAGAAACACATGGACGAGAGTATTGATGATGAAAATGCAGAGACTACAGTCGACGATAGACAACCTTTAGTCACGCAAGATAATGAAACTGAAGAGGTATAGTCCTTTAAACAAAGACTATAAATAAACAGAAAACAGTTAGAAATGTTAGCTAGAAGTTTGTAGTAACTAGTAACATTGAAGATTTTTTTCTTTTCTTTTTAAACTTGATCATTAATCTAAAAGATATCTTAAATGAATATGCGATCAGTTTCACCACAATGTGTACAGATTGGCTGGAAAAAGCCTATCAAACTTATTATAAAGGTTTGAATTAATTTTTCTTAACCTTTACTGGTTAAGAAAACATTACAGGAGAATAACTTTACTTAGGAAGTTTTGGGAAATATATACAAAATTCTGAAGGCTAGAATAGACAAGTGAGTTGAAATGATATAATGAATTTATGACAATAAGCCCTTAGAGGTTTTAAATAATTTTAACTATTTAGGAGTTGTCTTTAACTATACAGATTCATTTGCTTTGAATTATCAAAGTATTGGTTTAATCAAATGTAAACAGATGATATTATTTAAATAGGTATTTATCAATGGATATGGATTTCCTGATGTATTGAATTGTTCAAGACGATTTGAAGTAAAAGTATTTATATCAATGTTCAGACAAAGACAAGTAGATTGTTTTAAACAAAATGGTTTTCTGATATAGTTGTTAATAATGTTATTATTATTTTATGCATATGTGAAAACTGGCTTTGGTATGGAAAATTATCTGAATTTGCTATCTCGTAAATCTTCAAGAATATGTATCACGAAATTGTGCATATCTGCCCATAAGTTAAGAATTGAATCTGCCAAGTATGGCCGGAATATGTTGGAATGACAGAGTATGTTATATCAACAAAATTGCAGACGAATTTCATTTTGTACTTAAATATAAAGCGTATTAAGAATAGCGAACTAAATATGTTAAACGTTATCATTATATTCATACAAGTATATATAAATTAGTCAAGCAATAAATGCATGTTAATCAATTTGAGTACCTAAATAAATACATGTACTCAACCATTTTTGAGTATTTCTCTCTATTCTATCTTGACACGTTTGAAACGAAGTAATGCCCTTTCTTATGTTATATTTAAATAAATATATTTATCACATACAATTTTCATAACGTGTACCAAATTATTTCAATTATGATAATTTGTTAATTCTATGAGAAATATTAAAAACATGTTTGCTTATCACGTGCATTACATAGTGTGTAATTTTATGTTGTATTAATAAGATACATGTATTGTAAAGCTTATATAACCTGTCAATATATTTGTATTTTGCACATAAAGATATACTGTGCTCACATTTGATATCTAAAAATATTGAAAATTGCTACAGAGTCTCTTGATTAATATAAAACCAACATATTTCGACGTCATACAAAGTAGATACGTTGTTTTAAACTCTCCGCACTATAGTTGGTCACAATATGAATATATAGTATCATAAAAAACTGCTAGTTGTTTTATAGAAAAGATCAACTTTACTTGACCTGCAATAAGAAATGCAGATTCCCATACATAGTTTGAACATTCTTTTATTAAAATTAAACATATTCAGTAAGCATACATTTCAATAAGATTTTGCTATACAATTATTTTACTCAAAGATGAGCATAGTATATTTTTAAAGCACGGGATAGAATGATTTTAAACAAATATATTTCTCTGTAAACCCTATTACATTGTTTGAGTAACGCTTACCACTACTGTAAGTATGTTTGTATTTTTGTCAGTTATAGATATGCTGAATAAATTTTGAGCCGCGTCATGACAAAACCCACATAGTGCGACCACATGGATCAAGACCAGCCTGCGTATCCGCGCAGTTTGATCAGGATCCATTTTGTTTGCTATCAGAGTCTTTACTTGCATTAGGGTTTGTAAGCGAACTGCATGGATCCTGATCAAACTGCGCGGATGCGGAGGCTGGTGTGGATCCATGATGGTCGCAAACGCACTATGTTGGTTTTGTCATGACGCGGCTCATTTGTTGTTGTTGTTGCACGTTAATAAAATTCTGTTATCAAGTGTTTTTAGCCAAAGTTCTTCACGGCTTCATTTTTTATTAAAACCGGTAAGTGTCTCTGGCGTTTCGATTTCAGATCACAATAATGAGCTCTGTCTAATGTATACAGAGTCTATGATTCTACCTAAGTCTTGACTGTAGTTATCTTTCCAAAGGTATGTTTGATGATGTATCATTTTCATGTAGCAGATAGTGTGATATTTCATATTCTTATTATTGCTATTAAGGAATATCATTCCGGAAGGTGCAGAAATCATTATACACAACATATAATAGAATCAAAGAATATAACAAAATGATCATATTTTATTGAATAAATAAACAGCAACAAATCATAACCAAATTAGAATCAGCTACACGACAAAACTTATCTCGTTTCCAAAATTCGTTTCTGTGGTTTCTCTAACAGTTTCCATAACAAAGTTATCAAATTGTGCCCGGCTTGTCTTAAAGCCATCTTCGTTACTCTCCAGTTCATGTAATGGCAGAGTCTCTATATCAAAAGTGTCTTCTCGTTGCAGGGAAGGTAGCTGTAACGTTGACAATTTATCCGAACTCTGCAAAATGTTTGCCAATGATACTGATTTACCTAAATTGTTTTGATCATTAGTTTCTGTTGAGCTATTTGATTCACCAGCCGAAATGATAGAAGCTCGGCGTTTCTCCTCTTTGTTGATTGCTTTTACCTTGTTGACGGCACCAGTGAATGCAGAATTCATCTTGCTTTGAGCCTAAATAAAATATGCACATGATTACACATTCATGTTTGAATCAACAATCCTTGTTGCAAACAAAAATAGTGCAGGTGACGACAACGTTACAACAACATTAAGTAAGGTCGCTTTTCAAATAGAATTACATGCTCATTAATAAAAATAAACACCACTTATTGAGCCTTAAGATAATGTAGACATTATAATTTTTGTCTTTCCAAATAAATCTTGCCATATGATTGAATGAACAAAACGCGTCTTTTATCAATAACGAGTATTGTGTAATTTATCTTTTAATTCAAAACACAAAATAACAACAACAAAAAACTTACCACACGCAAGAATGTAAAAATAATTAGTACATCGTGTGTAGAATGTTAAACTCTAGTAGATGATGAGCAATCGGTGATTGGCAACAAACAAACGTGATAATGAAAACAAAAATAATGTGATCATGATAAAATGATTTATTTTGTGATATTATCAAATATTAAATTAAATGTTTTATGCAGTATCGTTATAAACAAAAATGTTACATGATGGAAGAATATTAACGATTTTTGCTCGGTCTTGTAGAAAGTTTAGGTTTAGTGACAGTTAAAGAGGCACGTTTTGTCCTGACGCGATCTCTTTGTGGGGTACCGGGTTTACTGCTAGCAGATCGTGCACGTGCCAAGGCGGCAGATTTCACACGTGTACTCGCCTTTTCCTTGTTTCGTTTGTTTCTTTTCTCAACAAGTTCTTTGAGAATTTTCCGCAATTCTTTGAGTCCTTGATCCTCCTTGCCTTTTTTCTTTGCCTTTGTTGTTCGTTGGATAATAACTTTTGACATATCTCTTTGAGCTACCATAAACTCTCTGAAAAGATAAATATTCAGAAACATCAAATATGATAATTATATTAGTATTAGCTGTACAATAAGTCATTGTTATGAAGACACAAAGTCATCACAATCTATCTGACATATAACTAAAATCATCAACATATAAATCTTAAATACTTATGTCATTTAATCAAAATGTTTTCAATGTGGAAGAATGTTTTCTTTATTTTCCTTAATTATTTTTATGCAGAGATTCATACGTGTAATATAATGTGAACAGAGAGACTTCTGCTCATATCTAAAATAATAAAGTATAAAATTGTGATATTTCATTACTCTAAATCGAGATAGCCATCCTTCTTCGAATCTATGTCGTGCATTATACAGTCTAGATGATATTCTGTTAGAGGTAAACCTAGGGTCTGAAACAGTTAATAGTAGAAATAATATACATATCTATATCTGCTTAGAACTACATACTACTGTAATATAAGTACGTACATTTATTACATGCTTTTCGGTGGTTTATAGAAATATATCAGTGATATAAAATTGGTAATTTCACTGTTTGAAACAGTGAAATTACCACTTTGATAATTTCACTGTTTTGAATTTAAGCCCCTTACGTTGTTTCAGTGAAATACCAGCGTGCACAGTACTGGGTACCAACTTAATGACGTGACGTCGTAAATGACGTCACGTTGTATTATTATTTGGCGCGCTTTTCATTCAGTATTAGGTTTAATGTCTTTTTAAAACGTTTCTTTGCATGTAATAAAAAGAAAATTTGTTTAGTTTAGTGTAAGATCGAAATATATTTCACCTTGTGAACACCAAAAGTACATATTTCACTCGTGGCTGCGCCACTCGTGAAATATACCTTTTGGTGCCCACTCGGTGAAATATATTCCGATCTTACACTGAACTAAACAAATATCCTCTATATGTCTCTTACTTTTAGACGGGCAATAGCGGGTCTTTGGTTTGCGAACGTCATTAAAAAAAGATGATAATAAAATACTTAGTATACAACTTTGTTCATTTATTTTTCAATAAATAATTCGAATCTTAACTTTGATTTACTTGAGTTTTGCTTGGGTTTCAAGACACGTCGATATTATCAAGTCATATGGCGATTTTCCAGCTTTAATGTTAAAGGAAGATCTCAGTAACCTTCCCTAGCATCAGTCCTAGATTAAGCGAGAAACTGAGCGGAACCACCTACATTCCGTTAACTAGAATAGCTTCCTCACAAAAATAAATATAAGAATGTTAATTAAATTTAAGAATGTAAGAACAAATATACTAACCGCTACACCCTGTCTGAGGTTGTCCCGGCTCACTAGCCCACGCCCATCAATGTCTAAATACCCAAACATATCAATAAGTCTTAGATTGTCAATACGCATGTACTCTATAATAACCATGACCGGATCAAATCTGTTTAAGTCATGTGGGTCATGCTCTTTCATTTCTAGCTCTATTGCACTATACATCTCTACACCGTGCTCCACGGTGATATACTTCTTCTCTTGCAACTTCTTAACAAGTCTGGTGAAATCTTTATCCACTGGAATATCCTGGTCAATAAAAATAAACTAACCGATAATAGTGCATAGTTTAATCACATAAATATCTGGATTTTTGCATAAATATAACTTATATATGACATGAGACGTAAAACACTGTGTAGTTATTTCATATAATCATTGTGTTAATTGCAGTACATATACATTATAGTTCATGTATTCTGACTCAGCATGTGTGTATCAAACATTTTAATGGGAGTTATTAAGATATAATGACAAAGTATACATACGTCTATATTTAAATATTTGATGTTGAGTTTAGGTGCCCCTGTAATTGCTCGCACAACCGCCTTAGCACCCTCTGTTGTCATAGGATTTTTACTAAGCTGTAATTTAACATAATTGTACATGATATTTTAATACGATTCATTTATTAACCTGTTAACATAAAATTCAAATAATTTATTGTGTTGTGATTTATATAAGATCTGGTGATATTTTTCGACGAAAGACGACAAACAAGCGAAATTCACTAGTTTTGGTGCGCTGTGTTGCCAATAACCAAATTTCATATGGAAAAGTAACGGGATCCAGCCTCTATAGTGAATTCAGTCTTATCACTAAACTGTATTCACTATATTTTCATGAAAAGGATCTAATTAACTTGGAAGTTAATAATTAATTTTTTAGCAGGGTATAAGATTACCGCAAAAACTGAAATAGTTACATTTAGGGATTGTATCGAGGTGTTGCGCACAAGTCCATGCAGCAGAAATGGAAGTGCTACCACGTCAATTCGGTTGTTAGTTAGATCCAGATTTTGTAGGCTGGTATTCTTAGGCAAGGATCGTGCCAGGGCAATACAACCCTCTTTGCCGAGCCCATTCCATGATAAATTCAACATGTGTAGACCTTTGTTCATCTGAAAGTTAGAAAAATCATATTATTTCATTTATAACGTTCAGGTAATGTTAAATTAAGTATCATTGTTTAGTGTGGTTAGAAATATTTTGAAGATAATTTTCTTTCTGTATAAATTTTTTTTCCGTAATTTTATTAACAGTCGGGTTGGTATGCAACATTGACATAATTCTGTACACTATTTTGGTCATATTTATAGAATGTTTTCTCTTTATCATAAATACTCGGCTTTGATTGGGGCTTTAAAATCATAGTTTACCTTTATTGCATTACATAATTGTGACGCACTTTGTTTTCTGAAATGATTCCATTGTAGATCTAATGTCCGCAAGGTAGTGTTCTCTTCTGAAATGGGAGTAATAATATCTGTCATATGTTGCGGTTCGGACCGGAATATCCGTCCCGAGGGGACCCGCCCATTGGGCGGTAACGAGGCTTGCCGAGTTACCGCCCATGGGCGGGTTCCCGAGGGACGGATATTCCGAACCGAACCGCAAACATATGTTAGATATTTTTTCTTGCATATTCTGCCATATTATTTCATAATTAAAATGGTTTACCTCAATATGATATATTTTCATGGAAATTAAAGTCATTTCATCCATAACCATTTTCTAACAATAGCGTATGAACTTACAACTAAAATAACAACGGCGAAATGACGTCATCCTTAGCACATATTTCCCTTCTAACACTACGTCATTTTAACGCGGTTCATTCATAAAGCGCGCTAAAATGACGTTGTTGTTTGGCACGCGACTCATCTGGCACCCCCCATGCCAGATGAAATTTCCGGCATGGGTAAAACTCACGGAAACGCCAGTGTGATATGCAAGAAAGGATTATACCAGTACTAAGTTACAATTCTGACGTTAACGTCATGACGCGATTAGACTGATACTGGCTAACAACGTATCATTGTGTATTAAATATTGATCAATAACCCCAAAAATTCCTTTAACACATATGTTACAATAGTAACAAATTCTAGGGTGGGCCCTACTTCTTGGTCATTATAGCAAGATTCAGGTCGTTATGCAATCTTGGCTGCCTTGCTACTCAGCATTATTTTTTTATAATGGGCGAGTAAATGAGCGCACGTGCAAAATGACGTGATCAGTTCTCAGTGACTTTCAAGATGATTGTCTGCAATCGTTAAATGAACTGTTCAGTAGTCACTGGCCCTCAGACAACCAGGCATATCTTCGGGCCTTTATTGCAGTTCCTCTAAATAATTTGCTTCTGCTAGTACCTATTATATAGGCGGTAAATCTATTCCTCTTTTGAACATTTTACATTCCGTGTGTTAAGTGCTTTTACATAGTGTAAAATATGAAGTAAATCTGTATTTATTCATATCTGTTTAAGATCCGTGATGTTTGTTACAAGTAGTTTGTAGTTTTTTTTCTCAGTGAATCTAATTCATAAAGATATAGTGGAACATGATTCAAAATAAATCAACTGTATAAACATTGTCGTTTGAAACTAAAATGTAATACTGATAATAAAGCAACTGATAAAATTAATTTTATACATTTTGTTTACTAAACACGTGTCTAAAAACACACCTAGAGACCAAGCTATTTTGTAATAAATAAACATAAATATTTTAAAACTACACCTTAAATTGATTTCTTTCGTATAATATATTACTGTATTAGTCTGTAATGTTACAAATCTTTAAATAATTTAGAAATAATCGGCTTATATTAGGCTTAATTCAGCTAAATTATTTGATTAATCACAATTAAAGATTTTGTTTTTCTATATTGGTACACTGTTATTGACTTACCCAATTCCTGCGCTAACAGTTTAGCACCTTCGTAGCCTAAATTGTTATGCCCTAGATATAGTTCTGTTATGGTGGGGGCATTCTAGAAAATAAAATAAGTAACAGATAATGAACATTCAACATTAATTATTATCATATACTGTTCATACAAAAATAGAAAAATGCATATATTTATTTTGTCTTCATACATTCATATCGAATGGAATTATTAAAAATGTGACGATTTTGTCTCTAACAGTATGCTATTATTAGATTTTATCGAGAGTGTAATACATATGTTTATATAGTTTATTGAAAATAAACCTTCATGAAAAAGAAAAATCTTTATTCGTTCACAAATATCACATTACACAACTGACAAAGCCATTATAGCTCATGTCACATATTTGAATGAAAACCATTTACAAATTTATTCAGTCACAAAAGTGTATACGGTTTTTTTTCACAAGACAAGTGATACAAGAACTGAAGTAAATGACACGATTGAACGCCCAGCGCAAATTTGGTGTATACAATTAAATATTTATCAACTAAGATGTTTTCAACTGGTACAAAATCCACGCATTGGAATGTCATTTCGTATACAGAGGGTTATGTTGTAAAGGCCCGTTCGTACAAGGTCTATAAAGCCTACTAGAATGTCAGATCTTGACAAATTCCTAGTTACTATTCTAGGCATTGGTCTAGAGTAGTAATAACGCATTTGTCAAGAGTTACAATAACGCATTTGTCTAGAGTAGTAATAACGCATTTGTCAAGAGTAGTAATAACGCATTTGTCTAGAGTAGTAATAACGCATTTGTCAAGAGTAACAATAACGCATTTGTCTAGAGAAGTAATAACGCATTTGTCAAGAGTTACAATAACGCATTTGTCTAGAGTAGTAATAACGCATTTGTCAAGAGTTACAATAACGCATTTGTCTAGAGTAGTAATAACGCATTTGTCAATAGTTACAATAATACATTTGTCTAGAGCAGTAATAACGCATTTGTTTTGAGATTTAATAAGGAATTCTCAAGAGCAGTAACAACGAATTTTCAAGAGTAGTAATAACGCATTTGTCAAGAGTAATAATAACGCATTTGGAAAAAAGAAGTAATAACGCATTTGTCTAAAGCATTTATAACGCATTTGTCTAAAGCAGTAATAACGCATTTGTCTAAAGCAGTAATAACGCATTTGTCTAAAGCAGTTATAATGCATTTTTCTAGAGCAGTAATAACGCATTTGTCAGAAGCAAAAAAATACACATTTTTCTAGAGCAGTAATAACGCATTTGTCAGAGGCAAAAATAACGCATTTTTCTAGAGCAGTAATAACTCATTTGTCAGAAGCAAAAATAACGCATTTTTCTAGAGTAGTAATGACGCATTTGTCAGAAGCAAAAATAACGCATTTTTCTAGAGCAGTAATAACGCATTTGTAAGAAGCAAAAATAACGCAATTTTCTAGAGCAGTAATAACGCATTTGTCAGAAGCAAAAATAACGCATTTTACTAGAGCAGTAATAACGCATTTGTCAGAAGTAAAAATAACGCATTTTTCTAGAGCAGTTATAACGCATTTGTCAGAAGCAAAAATAACGCATTTTTCTAGAGCAGTAATGACGCATTTGTCAAGAGTAGTAATAACGCATGTGTCCAGAGAAAAAATAATAACTTAGCGACATCGGTGATATCTATTCCACATAGGCTTTGATATTCCGCATATGTTTGTCAGCAACCTGTATCATTCAGTCTAGTATGATTTTTTGTATGTTTTAATATTGTTCTTAACACACTTATTGTTAAGTCGGCAAGGTTTCACGAACGTTTCACACTAACCTTCATAATTTGCACGAGAAAGTCGGTTTCTGTGTGATCCAATGAATTTGCTGAAATAAATAATAAAATTAATTATTTTAAGAAAAGAAACAGTATAGATAAATGGTTGAGATGAATTAGTTCATACAAAAGTAAATACATTTTTCGAAGTTCTGCACCGATGTATGTTTAGACGTATCTATGGTGCAATTTTACCTAAACGTATCGTTTAAAACAACAAAAAAAACAAAACAAACAAAAACTTACATTCTAATCTCAGAATAGTTAAAGTTTTGTTTTGTGGAAGATTCTTTGCTAAAGCCTCAAGTCCAGGTCTTCCCGGATTGGTGTTTGATATATTCTGAAAATAAAGAAGAATTTTACATAATATCGATTTAATGATATGTTTTATATTACGGAAACCGATGTATATAAAGCAAAAACGTTAACTAAACTTTAAAAGATTTTTATATTAAAGCACTTAACGCGAAAAATAAAATTATTTATCATAGGTTGATGGGATGAATTTATGTTAACAAAATAAGATGATATAAAAGATTGATGATAATATTCACCAGCTCAATGATTGAGTCGTTCATAACGAGCATTTCCGACAGGTACATCACTCCTAGAGGTCCTAAATCATTGCCTGATACGTCCAACACTTGAATATAATAATCACGCTAAAACAAAACAATTAAAACAATCATTATATTTTGTATAATCTATATATGCAATCTATTTATGCCTTTTATCACTTTGTTCAACGAGACAAGTATTTTATTGTTATAATTCATTACCGACAAAATAATTATTATATGATTTAACTTTAAAATCTGGATAAACTGTGATTCCTCGGGAACATTATCCACAACAAAATAACATGAACATTTCAGACTCGGTTTGATTGAGTCTGTACATGAGGGATAAGGCAAAAATTGCAACATCCTTACGCCCCTAGTACCGGCTTGGGTGGTACTCAATTTTCGTGTTGGAATCAATATTTATTTAAATAAATCCTTACACATTGAAAGTGAAACAAAATAGTTTTGAATATATATATAAATACAAAGAAAAAGTTGTAAGCGATAATTTAATTCTACTTAATCCTTTTTCTTTAATATTCGATATATACAATGTTGGTATATCAAACAGTTATATCCTCTAATGTTTATCTATTTGTATGTTTATTATTTGTCATTTGACATCGCAATGAAGAGAGAAGCAATTATACACGTTACAATTCCATATTTCAAAATATTTTAGAAATGTGTAATTAATTAATATAAGTAAGAAAGAATGTTTTTACATACCACTAGAGAGATTGCTATAGGTTTGATAGTGAGGTAACTGAGTGAAGTGTTAGCCATGCACACTTCTCTAGTTGTTGTCACTTGTTTGATATATGTCTGTGACGCCGTTATACCGAGGAATGAGCAAGCTCGCACGTAGATATCGTCCGTCTGTACGACACGGATCTTCCGTGGCTTGTATGTTCGTAACGATTCTAACGGCACATCTGTAATACATGATATTGCATTCATATAAAAGGAAGGATCTTTTTATTATGTTTGCTAATACTGATTGTGTTTCCTCATAAAACCATAAAATAGAAAAAGGGTTTGTTTGTCTAACAATAGTTTTACATGGTAGTATTTCAAAGAAAAAATGTATGGACACAACATGATAAACTGCTACAGAGTCATTCAATTATGTATAAAGCTTTGTTTTTAAGCACATGAAATATTCAACTTAACATTACTTCAGAGAATATGACAGGTAAATATGCTGAAATACTTTAGTAAATTATTGTATATCTCATATGAATATTGTAACTCTCTTTTATAGTTTATCATGTGTGTATTTGTGGCATCCAAACATTGAGAGAAAAAAGCAGATTGAAAATATTGAACAAGTTAAAGATCTTTCCTTAAAAAGGTTGAGAATAAATGGCGACATGTTTACAAAGAATTTCAAACGATCTAGACCGTCTGTGAATCTGGTAACAGACGGAATAAGATGAGCATGGTAACACTTGTCATACATAATAAGCATGATCAAGATTTCATTACGTGCTATGCTATGTTACCCTCACAAGTTCTTTATATTATAAACAAGATATCACAATGGACAGAGAAACGCCCATTTTGCAATTTGTCAACGCGTTCTACCAGTGCAAATGTGCTTCTTTTAATTTAGACATATATATTTAACTAGAGATATGCTCGCTTTTTGTTATATCCCCATACTTGTTTGATATGGTAGTATATGGTATGACAAGCCATATAATATCCTATCATGTAAATACCATATAAAATATTACCTTCATTCACATCATAGTCAAAATAAGAAGCATCCCTTGATAGAAGATTTGATCGTGTGCTAGGTCTGAGATTGTCAACTATACCATTAGCGGATCTATATCCCCGGGAAGCGGAAAGAGTATATTGTCTCGGACTAGAATAGCTCCTTGATATTGCACTATTTTTATGGTTTAAAGCCACTTCAGAGTTTTGTATTGTTCTATTTATACCGGTATCATGTTTCGAACACGGCCGTGAAGACCGAGGAGTCACTGGTAAAGATCCGGATTTACTCATTAGAGAAGAAGAAAATGTATCACGTTTCGAAAAGAACACTTTTTCATTTTCCTCCATTTTCTGAACAGTCGCTGAAATAACTTGTATACGCAAATCGTCTGGCAGTCCGGGATCCGGTTCATCGGGTGGTAATCCAGCAAGATCTAAAGTTTTACTTTTATTCACTAGCACCATTTTCACCGTCTGAAAACAAAATAAACGCAAGAAAATATAAATATTTTCGTTGTCAGTATATGCTTGTTTTAGTCCGTAATTGTTTTAATTGTTATTTATTGTTATTCCCGTTCAAGAATTAAAAATGCCCCTATATTATATCATTTTATTTTTTCGAGCAGACTTTTTGCCGAACAACTATACCTAATCAGCTTACATTATAAAATCATTTTACGTAAGTAAGATTAACGGTTTTAATTAATTGTTAACAAATTTTACGTGAATAAAATTGACCTTACAGTACCTACGGATTAGCCTATTTAATCATGGCGGCAAAACATAGAATAAAAACTTAATTATTATAGTGTACAGGAACTTTGTAAGTGCATATATGACATTGCCATTTTTGACGGTTTTCTATACACATATAGAATGACACCAATAAATAATTAATTAAAAGATGAAAAAACGACTACAATATCTACAGATTGCATGTATACACTAAGGAAATTATGACATGTAAAATTCCATCCAATAGATATACCTTACGTTCATACAGAGCGAATTTAGTATGCAATATTTTATTTACTTTAATTACTGACAGTGTTTAATATACCAGGACATTCTTTGAAATTGAAACATGGTAAAACATTCATAATCAAACACTTCATACGTTTTTTAAACAATGCCGATTGTTTTGCTTTCGTACTTAAAGGTAATCTAAAACAAGTAACAAATGTGTCAATGGAAAGAAAATACAAAATACAAATCGTTTATTAAGAAAGTGCCAGAACAAAGATAAATACATGTAAAGGAAATAAAATAGAACATTTTCTCGTTTCTTTTTGTTATTGTATATGTTCTTAGAACTTTTAGTATACATGTATACGAAATATGAAAATTATTGAAAGTCAGCAATCCACACATCAGAAAAACAACATTAATGCCAAATAATAAGCCTGGATATTATTTTGCTACAGGTATGTAAAATAACATATTTGTTCAATGATGTCTGAACTCTACAATTAATCGCCACTTGTACTCGGTCAACACGTTTTAAGTACGCCGTAATGACTTTGTTAATCGTTTATTTATGTTTTGTGAATAAACAAAGTGATTTAATAATAAAATATTCAATAAATCTGTTTAAGTTATAGATCACAAGTGTTGGTGTAAGTATGTGCAACAATGACTGTTTTGAACTTTCTTTTTTCAGACTGCATTATGATTCATTACATGGTACCTTTCTGATGCAGGGTCATCACTTTTCAAATCAAAACTTTCCCTAAATTATTAGAAACATTGCTAAATTGACCACATTTGTCCATATATGTGTATTATACATGAACTAGTACTCTACATGTCTCGCTTTTATTCGTACGTTTATTTTGTAACACACCAGATTTGAATAACTTAAAAATAAAAAGTTAAAACAATATTAAATTTAAACTTTATATATCAATTCTTTGTTATCAAAACGATGTACATATGTACAAGGCTGTAAATAAAATGCTGTTCTTTTCTGTCCTATATATGTATTTATTTACATTTATATTAAAGGAATAACATTGTTCCTGAATAATGAATTATACGTAAAGTATTTTAACAAAAGTTTTACTAAATAATGTTAAATGCGTATTTAACCTTAGTGAGTGTCAACTACTAAATTGAAACTACACTGGAGAATACAATAATTTTTTACTATATATAAGAACGTAACCTATGCCTGATTTTAAGTATGCAATACTTTATGAAAATTGATCTAAAAGAAACAGATACATTTTTTTTATATTTACATCATGCAAGCATTAATGTATAACTTCAAGTTAAGCTTTCATCTTTAAAGATACTATAAAACAGTTGATTGAAAAATACATCGACTATAACTTAATACAAAGATTTTCATGTAAAAATCATACAAATGAATCACATCATCTTATTCTTGCAAAGTTTAATGACGATAATAATATTCTTTAATACACGAATGCTTTGTGGTTGCGAAAACAACAATAGGAAACACAAATTCAACGGTATATAATCATATAAAAAAGATTAAACAATTGAAAAAGCAAAATAAATTAATGATATTTTAAGTGATTTAATATTTGAAAAAAAATGCATAATACTGTAGCCTTTCAGAGAAAAAAATAATGTCTAGAATAAACTGCATACCTGAAGACATTGTTAGATTACCCGGTACATCCACAGTGATACACATTTACATTTAGCCGCTTTTTATCATGTGAAATATCTTTTGAAATTGACCAATCAAGTCAAAGTTGTATTGCCAAGTCATGCATTTATATCTCTCAAAAACAATTACTGCGCGTGTATAAAATATCTATTTGCACTTAAGTAAGATTTATCATTCTTTAATACCTTTACGACCACTTATGTTTAATATTAAAATTAAAGAATACTTGAGAAAGTTATAAAACTGAACTTTTGTCGTAAATTGTAACGTTTTAAGATTTCAACAATATATTTCAGATAAGACACGTGTTATTGTTATTATATTGTGAACTGAATTGAGAATGTATTGTCTGTTTATAAGTCGCTATGAGACTGAACTATTTGCCTCGTTGTGAGATTGTCTGCTTAATACAAACTTCAATAATGATGTCTACGTTTTGTCTCTCTATATTTCTCTATATAGCACCCCATAAGTATACAAATGATATAACCGAATATAGAGTAAACATTTCCTGATAATGTGTCATTTGCAATCAATATTCATGTTTGATATAAATTTGTACTTTCATTAACTCAAATAATTTTTTCTTACTTAATTTAGATTTCTTATATGTCGTATAACAATAAATTGAAATGACATTTTAAACATATAATCAAAACTTTGAACATTAAAGGTTTCGCGACTGCACTTTTGAATGCATCCAATCAGCTGAAATAACTTAGGAATTTGTTTCTTTCAAATGAAGCAAACGGTCTGATGTGAGAGAAACAATGAACCAATAGAGTTTACAAGTAAAAATGTTCATGAAATTGTAGACAAACTTTAAAAATAGAAATCAAATTGTTTTCCGTTGTTAAAATTTTAACCGCTGTTGACAGAGTGCAAATTGTATATTAAATTATAATTTTCTTAATATTCAAACGTTGACAATTTGAGTATAGCAAACATATCAAGAAGTAAAATAACACCAATGGATGTATACGAGATGATTAAAAGATCTACAGAGGTCTCGTTTTAGCATCTGATTAATTTCTTGCATAATTTGTACATTATTGTATAATACATAGAAAATAAACATTCCTATATATAGACATCCGCACAGCAACAGCAAACTTAAACAAAATAATTTCAACGCTGAAAATAAAATATTAAATATTTATAACAATGTATCAGGATACATTGACATGTCTTTACAGGAATATATTAAACATTGTATTAAGATAATAACTATTGTTTTTAATAAAATCATTCAAACAAACTCACCGTTATTTATTATTATAGATTTAGAAAAATAACACTTTATATTCCTTTAACTCCCCTGATTTGAAATGCCGATTAAAACAACTATTAACGAAATAGATATGACCTAATATCTATACACTGTATTGATAAACTCTTAAAAAAGGCACTCTGCAAATAAAAGCCTTCATTTGAGTTTCCTTGACAAACGCTGAGTTTGTTTTATTTATACTATTTTTAAATATCTAGCTTTAATTATTCACCAACAGAAGCCGGCAAAAGACTCCAATCCTTTTAACAATATTTATTTCAAAAATTGAACGATTCAAATACAGTGAAACTCCTATATAGTGAGACATTAGGAGGTAGTGTATGACAGGCATGTGTGTAAACAGTAAAAGAATAGATCAAAATATATTTTTGTTTAATGTCGTACCACTTGTTTAAGTTAAAGATCCTGTAACACAATTTTCTATGGTTTTAAATCATAAATATGATGCTCAAATTAAGATTTTCCATATAATAGGTTCAAAAAAGCATTATTTATAAAATATATCAGAATTAAACATTTCATGTAAATAAAGGGAGGTAATAAAAAAATTATATTCTATAAAGACTTAGTCAAACTTTCCAATACGAAATGAATGCATATATTTTAATCATTACATATAATATGCACAAATATTTGCAATACATATTTTACATATTCTTTGATGTTTGAACATTGTTTTATTAGCATCATTATATACGTATATATCATTTCACGGAATGTGGTTAACCACTTCACTGACAACATATAGGATCTTCAAAATAATAGCGTTGTCCTTGTAAATCTTTAAGTAAGAAAATACAAAAATGTTTTGCGAGATAATTTTTGGTACGATGAAGGCACTTATATTTTAACTATAAGCGTAATTGATGAAAATGCTATGTTAAATACAAGAAGTGAATACATACGCTATTTCACTATCGTTATCATAAAAGACGATCTTTTGGATGTGTATCAACTTAATACTTCAATTAAAATTGGCATATAAAGGATCAACATACAAATTGTCACCAAGGTGCATTAATTATTTGTAGAATAAACATATATTTCTATGACACAATATATGAGCCGCGTCACGACAAAACCAACATAGTGCGTTTGCGACCAGCATTGATCCAGACCAGCCTGCGCATCCGCGCAGTCTGATCAGGATCCATGATGTTCGCTTACAAACCCTATATCAAGTAGAGAAACTGATAACGAACAGCATGGACCCTGATCAGACTGCGCGGATGCGCAGGCTGGTCTGGATCCATGCTGGTCGAAAACGTACTATGTTGGTTTTGTCATGACGCGGCTCATATGTATTACTATCTTTAAAGATGTAAACCCTAACGAAACTCATTGGATAACCTAAAATAAATCAATAGAAAAAGATTACCGTGTACTTCTGTACTTTTATATTTTTGAACAAAAAAGATATTAGTGTCATATACTATTTTAGCAACAAAACATAAGTGTTTATATACAGTAATTAAAAACGAAACAATTAATTATAAATCATATCCACTTTAAAAATATAAAGCTATCACGTTTGATAAAACCTACTTGAAACTGGTATAAATAATTCATTAAAATGCCATATAAGGAAAGTATCAGCGAAAATTTGAATGAAACATAGTATCGGACAAAGCTATGTTATCTTCATAAAACTCGTATTGAAAAAGTAAAAAAAAAGGAACGTTTGTATGAGTCAGCTTAAATTTACCACACACACATTGAAATATTTCAGTGTTTTCAAAGCTACTGTTACAACAGATCATATGGCATAAACAGAATAATTTGATTGTTTAAAACAAGCTCATTTATAATGTATGATTTACCAGAAATATAATACCACAGGAAAATAGTTTGAAACCAGAATTCCGAGAAAGTCGATTTAAAGATTTTTTTAAACAAATATATTTTCACATTTTCTCTGCATTCTTTTATTACACGTTCCTCTTAGATAGCACGACTCTTCATGAACCCAAATATATTAATCAAACGTAGCACACCGCAAAGTAAACAAAATACTGTTTGCTTTGATTCACGAACAGTGATTCGATAACAGTTTCGTAAAATGAGCTAATTTAGCAAACACCAATGGAGAAAGCAAAATAAACATTGCAGAGGTGAATATATTCCTTGTGTTCTTTTTTGTATTTTCTGATCGCAAGATCAGTAAATACATAGCTAACATCCACGGTCTAACACAAAATTTCCTCACAGACCTAACAACGCAAAGTAGTTCTCACTCAAAACTGCTTAAAAACCAGCAATTTAAAAAAAAGAAAAATTTTTAATGTAGGCATTAAACGAATTACAGTGCATTTACCCAATGAAAAATGTTCGACTATTTCCGTAAAGCTTTATTAATGAAAATGCTATTTTTAGCTATGTCGATTACCGAATACACCAGGGCGTAGTACACAAATAAATCTGACTGTCGAGTAATGGAATATATACATGTCGGACTGTTTTGGCGAGAAAATTTTCGCTAAATTATTTTCATCAGTGTTTAACAACAGGTTTATCGTGAACAAAATACCTCGACATTAATAAGGATTACAAATACGAAATGAAAATTCTCAATTTTAGAATTACAATATATTTGTTTTTATTCACGCTACATACGTATTACTTCACTTTGGTGCAGAGGTAGCGCGCTCGTTTAGGGTGTGAGAGGCCTAAGGTTAAAATCCTTGTCGAGGCAACATTTTTTTTTGAAGTGTCTTTTTTAAGGAAGTAGCCACGATATGCAATGATAAAGTGTGGCTGTAATAAAAAATGAAAAATGATTTTTGATGCAACTCTAGGCATGCAAAATTCCATATGTATCAATCACAAACTGTTAAACGCAGTCGCTGCGTAAGATGAATAATAGTATATAAAAATAAACTTATGCAGGAAAGATCAGAAAATACCACAGAGCATGCAGCCCTTTGATTTATATATAAAATTGGCACATGTTGGGAAGGAGACAGATTAAAAGAAGATCCCTAACTCTTAATAACGTTGAACAATACATCGCAAAAAGTACTACGTAAAATACGTTCCAGGGACTATTGTTAAATATAACATTGTAATCGTTTAAACTTTGATTTTTGTACAGTACATGTTTACAACAAAAACAACATTGCATGCAATTTACAACATTTTTCTCCATAAGAACAAGAACGTGCAATGGTCATGTCAGTATGAAGTTTATGACATGTTGATATATATCTATAAAACTGTCCCATGACTACACACTAAGAACTAACTGGCCTAAATGTTTAACATGTATTGTAAATAATTCTTCACATAGCAAACACACTTGACTGGAATAAGAGTGTTATTAGCACAACCCTCAAGCATCCATTTATCACGCCGTGTGATGTAAGATAAACTTTATTTATTTACCAGTCATTCCATAAAACCACTTGGAAATTGAAGTTCTAATTAATAAATGCACTCCACATGGTCATATATTACAAGTCACGTCATATGAAATCGCAGTAAATCATAATATGAAATAATAAATAGCCGATGAGGGACACTTTTATCAAAGCATGCTTCAAAACAATATTTAATATGCAAACAAACTCATATTTATACTTCATACTTGGTTTTTAAGGTTTACATTTAACAAATATATACGAGTAAAATAAAAAACTGATAATAAAACTGATAATAAAATTGTTTTATTCGGACAATGTTACTGAAGTGAGTATTATTTAATTTTACGTCAATATTTACATTCATTGCAACCAAATATAAACATAGCATATTCCTCAAAATTATTGTCCACCTTCACCAACTGTTTCAAGCAGTTTACAAAGAATAAAAGCTTGAACACACACACCAAACTAAATGTAATAAAATGTATATACGGGATTCTTAAGTAAGCTTGCTAGAATATTATTTCACCATACATCTGATTTGTTTGTCATATTAGAATAATTATACATGCATATTGATATATTGATATAAAGGTAAACATAACGACTCACTTTACTGTTATTATCCCTATTACTGACACACATGTTTACTAATTTAGTGTCCATGATATTACTCTGTGAACTGTCTGCAGCTAAATCCAACGGAAGAATCAATTGAAACGTACAAACTGGTTGTTAAGCAGTTTAATATATTTTTGTTATAATATTATAATAAAAGGATATTCGTGTAATATTATACACTAATATATATTAGGAGCTCAGAACGTAATATAGGCGATTTAAGACAAAATTAGAAACACTTTTGGGGATTATCACTTAAAATAGGTATCCATTGTTGTTCAGGGATGGACTTTTTTAAATATCTAAAGAGCCGTGACTTATGTCTATAAACAACTGTGTCAGGATATCTGACAATACTGTTAATCATGAAAAATTCATGTAAAACATAAAAATAACTGATTAAAAACTTCTGTCGTTAAGACATATCTGAAAAATATAAACGTACTCTTTAACTAAAAAGTTATCAGGGAAGGAAATATTCATTCATAAAATGGAATCGATAGTGTGTATAGATCTACTTACAAATTAGCTAACTACAAAAAAAATCAGTCTAAATACATGCAAGTTTAAACAATCTCATGTATACCTAGTATAAACATAAGTATTGGACTAGGTATAGAAATGTTCCTTTTCTATCTCAGAAAGATAGAAACGTACAAAGACAACATTTCTTAGAGGGGCATTCCACGTGTCTTATCTATGACAACATATATACAATACATGTTTACTATTGTGCTATCGAATATATCAGTTCATACAACTAGCATTATCTATGCTAACTTTTACTTGTTACTTAAAAAAAGAACAACTGAAAAATACCTATAAGAAATTAAAGATGTTGGTATTAAAATATTTCCCTTTTTAGCGAATGAAGCATGCGCAAAATTATAGCTCCGCAGTTAAAAACCTTATAAAAGCAGCATAATATTTTATTTTTGAACATTTTATTCCGTGTACAAACATTTTTCATGTGACTTTGTTAAATAAAAAAGGCATTCTTCTATGTTTCAGCTATTTCAAGAATTTACAATAAGGTAATGTGAACAACATACATTTACCATTAATAATTTCTATAAAGATATTTTCTAGATAGATAAAGTTTTATACCATTTAACTCTTTCTGTTCAAGAAACGAGTCATGTCTTTATCTTCTTGCATTGAATGAGTATAATAATGAGATTGGATGAATACATAAAGTGATATTAGGAATTGATCCTTTATTGACTTGATGCCTTACATGCCTTATAAAAAAGGTAAAAATGTATCATCTTGTTTCTAGGATTATTCGGATTTGATAAAGAAAGTAAGACAGAATTATGTCAAATTGTGCATAAGAGAGAGAGTTAAGATAAATGGCAGCGTGACGTTTTATTGATATAATCTATATAATCCATGGGGTTTATTCGCACGAGATTTGATCTTTGGAAGGAAATAATTGATTTCTAAAGCTTTCCTTTATTCATCTTTATCTATCTTTATCTTATAAGTGAAGCGCTTCGTATATACAAATCTGATCAACTACCGACGACATTTATACCAAAAATGAGAACATTGATTAATTAGTTTATTAGAATGAAACATGCAGTTTATCGTCGTGTATTTTGGTTCTTTGGTCAGATATGTATATATTATAATCATATTCAACAAAACTGATCATCAAGTGATTTTCTAAGCTAAAAATTATCAAAGTTTTATCTCATTTCATATGCGGCACATGCACGGGTTAGACGAAGCAAAAGCAGAATAGGTTTTTTATGGCTGTTAACTAACTGACATCATGACATGTCATTGACAGAGATTTACATTGTAAGAAAACTATTTCTGGCAAAAATGTTCATGTCGTTTCAATCTGATAATTAAACACAATTTTTAGTATATCTACACACAATTTTCTATTGATCAAACATGAGATATAAACTATTTTGAAATAAAATGTCCGATAAATATTCTTAAATCACGCAGAGTAATTATAATTTTTAGTATTTGTTTTACTTAAATGTCTGTCAATACAATCAATAAGAGAAGCCAGTTTAATCCCCGCTGTTAAATCAAACACGATATGCTAAGAGAACAACTGAGATCTATTTACATTGAGATGTAAAGTGTGATTGAATAAGAACGGAAAGAGAATGAAAGTACGGTAAATAACTTGAGTGTCGGTAACGGCATTGATCTATGTGGAGATTAAACAGGACAAGTGCAAGATGAATGTCGCAAAGTGGTGTCATATTCATAATTAAACACTGGAAATACACAAATGTAAATAGCAAATACGAAGCTGCCTCTTTACCTACAAAGTTTTGCTTAAACGGTATAAGGCTGAAGCTTATGAAATAATATTTTAATCTATAAAATTTACCAATAGCAAAAATGCATTGATTCCATCATTTTAGGTCCATTCTCATAAATGTCTCAATTTTTTATTATTTAATACACATAAACAGAATAAGATATTCCGAAAAAAAATATTATGCTACTTTTGCCAGAAAAAGTATAAGACATTTAGAGAACTGACGCGCTAAAATAATTAATGATTGAAATATTACTTAAACAAACACAGTTTATTGTATTTTCAAAAGCACTCACATGTTATGAAATTTATATCATATACGTATTGTATGATTTTGTTTTTTGTTGTTGTTGTTTTTTTTGCCCAAACATTATGAAATACAGTTTATATCCTTTTGGCATAAAAATGAAATATCAAAAGAAGAAAGTACATACCTGAATCCCAGCGCCGAATATGAACTTACAATGAAACAAATAAAACCTATTTTATCTTTCTTTCTTTTTTTCTTTTTTGATAAGGTAACGTGTGTTAATGGCGAAAATGTTTTAGAATTACCAATTTAAATGGTAAATGTCAAAATAATGAATTATTTACACTCAAAAGTAATTTCGCTTAAATTTTAAATATGAATTTCTTTGCTTTAATTTATCACAACCTCTTATGTTGGACATTAGATTTAGAGAGTACTTGAAAATGCAATAAAACTTAGAGTTCGTCGTAAATTGTAACTTTTCAATTGATTCTAAATTATACTGTTTTAGAAACGGCACGTGTTTAAACTATCATGATCAGAACAAAGGGGAGAATTAATGTTCGTATACGGGAATATCGACCTAATCGTTAATTGATAAAAACATGCTCATAGGGGCACAATATTCTGTCTCTCACATCGTAGCAGTTTATTATCAATTGTTATATTTTGTATGACTAAAGTTTGTTTTTTTAATTGAAAGGCATGCACAATTATGTGTAGTTTAAATATTGATCCTTTTCTCAAAATAATAGATAAATATATACAAAGAGAATATTACTGAACCTGAACAAAAATAAACAAAATTTTAATTTTATTTTTAATTTGTATATTATTTTTAGTTAATAACTATCAATGTCAGTGAGTCTTGTTGGAACTTTTAAAATTTAAAAAAAGATCATGTATTAAAAATGTATTAGTTGTAAAACTTTACAAACTACAAATGATTGTTCGTGAATGATTGCCAAAGATAAAACAGGTAAACAAAACATTAAGGAGCAACAAGTAAATATGTATCAGCATTACATCAAAAATTAGTCATGCCTTAAAACTTTATCATTCGAAATTATAAAAAAAAACATATTGTTTATAACAATAAAAAATCATATTGATACAAAACTGATTAATAAAACAAGATAGAAAGATAACATACATTACGATTATCCCACATATAAGATATCAACGTATTTAAAGTAGCTTAACAACACTGCCGTTCTCTCAACTCCTACATGAAAATCACAGCTTATATACGTTTATATGACGAAATTGATATAGCATTATCTCTTGAAATATATATTTGAGAACTCGTAGATGTACTCTGTAAACATATGGTTATCATAAAATTAACATAATAACAGCAAAGTTTGTTTAATCTAAACAGACAATTCCACATATCCAGTGACAGAAGCCATCAAAGAATCTCAACGCCCTGTCACACTGTTTATGTCAATATTTATAAAACATAAAATTATCTAAGAAAAGCGAGAATCCGTCAACAAAGAGACACTTGAAGTGAATACATGACATGGTTGTTAATGTCAAAAAGGAAAGTGGTTGAATCAACACTTTTTTAAAAGTACACCTAAATACTTTGAGAAAGTTCAAGAAAGTGTCACATTGAAGATTCCATAACTACCGATTGATCAACACATTTTCGGGCCTTCTTATATTCTAAATTTAAACACCATTTCCATGTTCTGAAAGTTGAATTTTGTTCTATGATCTCAACCAAAACATTATAACGTTCATCTTATCCATATTATTATCATTCGTAAATGTCTGAAATCAACATAAACTTGAATAATACCAATCATGATCTAAATATGATAAGGCACGAGCTTCATTGTTCATTTTGCTATCGGTTATTCTATGATACTCTTCATATTCTACTTCGTTTATTTATCTCTCACAAAATTTTATTTGTCAAATTGTAGCATTTCAGAGAAAATTAAGTGCAAACAAATATCAAGATTTGCAATAATGTCTTTTTAAGCCCTACTGTTCAGTAAAGCCCTCCTATGGTATAATATATTTCTCTTGCATTGAACATGATGACACGAGAGCAGAAGCAGCACTTTCTATTGATACAAATGCGTTTGAATGTACATCACGAAATACGAATAGTTTCTATATGATTTGTTATAAATCATTGCTTACCAATACAATACAAACGAATCGTCAAACGTATTCACCCTTTACTCTTTTTGATCATGACGATAAATATTGAGAACAGAACAGCAAACTTACTTGGTGCACTTAAAAACAAAACGTGTGAACAAAATATGAAAAGATATAAATAGATCAACAAAGAAGCTAACACAGTTATCCAACTCTCCTCTTAACAAAGAAGCAGCGACACGAATCCCAGCAGGGCACCGATCCAAATGGTATAAGAGCTATCCAAACAATTCAAACAGTTAAATGAATATCTTATCGCTATTAGTAAACGATTCAATGAACAATTGATGAATATCGGCGAGATAAAAATTAATATTGACTTTATTGTATCAGTCAATCCTATCCGACACTAACGTTCGAAATTTTAATTT